CGACCAGCATTTCCGCCACGGGCATTAAATACTCGTCTTTAGGGGTGGCACTATTCAAATCTCTAAAATCGATGCAAATTCTCAAAGTGCCATTTTCTTAACAACCGGGACTATGTTCGCCAACCACTCAACATACCTCGTTGTGCGGATGAACCGACTATGTAGAAACCTTTTAATCTCCCTCTTGATTTTCAGTGTGACTTCTGTGGCAAATCTACATGGTTGTTGCTTAATTGGTTTCCTCCCTGGTTGGATGGGCAATCGGTGTTCTACAACCTCCCGACATAGCCCTGGCATTTCGGCATAATCCTAGGTGAAGCAATCCTTGTACTCTTTCAATACCTCAATCAGCTTGGCTCTTATTTTCAAGCCAATTTTGGTACTTACATATGTAGGTCTCTTTGTGGTTCCTTCCCCTAAATCGATCTTTTCGAGTGGATCTTGCGCCTGTATTTTTTGCACGTCGTAGGTTGGGGTTTTCTCAAACGCCAAAGGATCATCATCATAAATGCAATCGAGCCTCCGACTTTCTGAAGTTGTTGTCTGGCCTTGTCGGCCAATTGTACATGTATTATTGGCGATATCTCTGTGTTTTTCCTTTTCGAGCACCGCTTTTCATTTGTTTTCAGCCAAATAGGCCAAAATTCGAGTTAGGCTTTCTGACTCAGCAACCATCTTTATCTATGGGGGGCCATCCCGTGGGTGGGGAACTCTGTGATGACTCTGCTAAGGTGTCGGGTGAGTCGCATACAAAACCATAATTTGGGTCTAAATTCAGGATACGACCGGTGTTGGCGGAGGTATAAGATCCCGACTGGTCGTCACATGGTGCTACGTGCGCCAGGTGCTGGTCGAAATACCTCTTCGTCCTCTTAGCTTCATCGATCCTATAATAACTCTAGTCGGCCTCGACATTCTCAAAGATGCCATCTTTCCTCCAAATAGTCAGTCTTTGGTATAGAGTTGAAGGAACCGCCCAGATTCCATGGATCCACTCTCGTCCCAATAAAAGGTTAAAATTTGCCTTTGAATTTATGACCATGAAGAGTGTCGAACTAGTGGTGGTTCCCACTGCCATGTCCACTTGGACCACTCCTAGAATATTGCTGGTTTTATCCTCAGAGTTGGATCAAAACCATGTTGTGTTGCTTGAGATCAGATTCAGTCTTCCCGATCCTCCTAAATGAGGTGTGGGGCATTAAATTAATTGTTGCCTCTCCATCCATAAATACTTTATTCGTTGTCATGTTGCCGACCTTTGCCTTTATGAACAATGGTTTCAAATGATACATCATCCCTGGGATGGATCTTTTGAACATGTAAGTTTTCTCTTCTATCACACCATTATTCATCACATAATAACACATCGACTTATCTTCTGCAGCTTCGTCTGGAAAGAAATCATCCTATGACTCTGAGACTTCAAATACCCTATCATATTCCGCTAGAAGTATTGACACAATTCCACGGTTTACGATAAAGTCTTCACCGTAGGTGTCACCATTTGTCTCATCGTACATGTCTTCATCCAAATCGTCTTCTGGAGATGGGGTGTATTCCTCGTCTGATTGAGGTGTATACTCAGGTTCGTCCTTATCTTGTTTGAGGATTTTGCCTCTCTTTCTAGATCCAGCACTCTCCACTTTGGCCTCTTGCTCCCTTTCTGGGTTACGGGAGCCACCCACTTATCATGTGGGGTAACCGACTGGGGTACAAAAGTCTTGGGGCTTGCCTGTTGGAACAACTTCCTGTACTCCTATTTTTATCGAGGAGCCCCATCTTTTTCGAACACGAACCTTGGGACCGGTGGTCTATTGACTGGTGACATAACTTGCTTGCCCGACTCGAATCTTTCTCCTGCTTTCTGGTCAAACACAGCATGGCACCTGGGACACTGGGCGGCTTTAGAGCCGCTAACCCTACATTTTATTGAAATTGAGCTAAATTTCTCCAGCTTGAGGGTAGATTCCCTCAAAGTCTCTTTCTGCTTTCTAGTCGGGGACCTCAGTAGCCTCGATCATCATGCATTCGAGCGTCGGGGTTGTCACCCGCTCTTCAAGGACCTCAGTAGCCTCGATCATCAAACACTCTGCCACTTCAACGTACATTGCTTCTTCCATCTTCAGAGGATCCGTGTCCACTTGCATCTTTGGTCTTTCACCAAACTGGATTCATCCTTCTTTCAAAGCTTTCTGCACCAAATCCCTGAAAATAACACATTGAGCTATTTTATGACCAAGGAAATTATGAAACTTATAAAATCCCCTCTTATTCTTTTGTTCCAGAGGGGGGATCTTTTATCCCAACCGGGACGACAATTTGATCATCTTTGACCAACAAATCAAATACCTCGCCGCATTTGGATACACCGAAAGAGTACATTTTCGCAACATATTTGTCAGTCTTTTCCGTATCTACCGGATTTTTTCTGTTCGACGGTTTTAGGACTCTGCATGCATATGGGGGCCCAGGTTTTAATTCGGCTATGTTGACGGCATTTTCTTCGACGAGCTCTTCGTCATCAGATGAGTATCCGTCGGCGGCCACAAACACAACTTTTTCTTTCTTACGGTATCGATTAGCCTGAGATTTCACACTCCTTAAATGTTTGAATTGTCGGACGCGGTTGACCAGTTGTGCCATATCCCTAAGATATTGTGTGTCTAGCTTTTTCCTAATAGAATAATCTAAACCGTCTGCGGCTATTTTGACCAACTCGTGTTCAGGGACTTGTGTAAAGCATCGCGCTCTCAATAGTCTGAACCTGTTCAGATACTGGTCTACGGGCTCCGCTACCTTTCATTTGACGCTGGCTAGTTCTTTCAAACTAATATTTGATTATCCCATGTAAAACTGCTCGTGAAACAATCTTTCTAACTGCGTTCATGTATGGACAGATTGTGGGGGCAGCCATGTGAACGCGTTCTTGGTTAGGGAACTAGGGAAATATTTCATTTGCAGATCTTCTTTATTTGCTATGTCCCCAACTTCGGTTTGATACCTAGCAACGTGTTCAACGGTGGATTCCTCCAACTCTCTCTCGCAAATTTGGTTAATTTTGGAACCTTTCATCCCCTTGGCAACTCCGTTTGTAAAACAAAATTTGGTAGAGGGGACGTGTAGATGAGTCGTCGAAGGCTTGGGTTTGCACCGTTGTGAACCATAATGTGTTCCACCATGGCTTCTAAATTAGCTTCACCACCCGGATTATCGTTCCTAACTTGTCTGACAACGTAGTTTGGATCTTGGTTCTTATGAACCATCACAATGGGGTCCCTTTGGGCCATCCTGGGCATGTGTTCGTACTCAGGCGCATGTAGGTCATTTGTTTCTTCGACAGGATCATTATGTCGGACAGGCGTGTCGGGACGATTAGGAGGTGTTTGTCTTCCTAGGGCTCTAGGGGCCCCTAAGAAGCCTCATATTCGTGTCATCTGAGTTGCTAGTTGCTGGTAACTCTAATTCAAATCTTATATTAATGGTCTTAGAATGGTGCCCATTTGCTGGGTCAACAGATATACCATCTCGTGATTGCTTTCATCCATCTGCTGTCACATAACCGCGACAGAATTAGTGGTAAAAGTCGGTATCTCGGGGGAAAACAAACTGAAACCTGGTGGCCTTACCCTTTGATGGGTCACAGGCCCTAGGTTCTGATAGGGTGAGAATGCTGATGAGGAATTTTCTTCCATGCCTGGTCCACTATAGTGTAGCGTTGACAAGAACTTTGTCAGCAAGTATTGCCCTCCGACTCCTGTCGTCACTATCCTTACCTCAGGTCGACGCGGAGTCGTGAATGGTCCGCTATGAACGGTCGAAGCTACGGTTGTGGACTCAGTGTTCACAACTGTCACCAGTGATATGACCGAATTTTCCTGCGAAGACGTTCTTCGTTTTATCGTGGTGTTACCATTTTCCACTGTGCAAACACATATACCCAGACCTTCATGTCCCACCGGGTATCCCAATTTGTTCGCGCAGGTTTTTTGCGTGGACAACATATGACCTCCCGACGCGGGTTTGCTTGCGGGACCGACCAAACTAGTCCCAGGACTCTTGGTTCTAGGTGCGTGCACTCGTGAGATACTTGAATTTGAGAGTTTTTTAAATGTGTATATGATGAAGTTTAAGTACACAAATACAACGATGTTTCTAGTAGAACAAAGAGAAAATAGAAAAATGACATAACAATAAAGACATTGTTTTCATAACATAAAAACTTGGTAAGTTTAACTTAAACAGGAAAATACAGATGGGCGTGTTCGTACATTTTGTAAGGAATGAGGAACTTTTTCTCTCTCAGTGCGCAATACTCAGAGTGTTTTTCTTACAATGCTAACAAAAAAACACCTCTTTCTTGAATCCAAACTTTGCTTTATATATGCAAGTGAAATAACCGTCAGATTGTCTCTGGTGCCGTCACGTGACGGACCACTACTTTTGTAACTTCCCTCATGTTCTCCTTTTTCAAATTTATCTTGGACCCTCTATAGACTCTCCCCGACGAAAAAATGGGTTGGCGTGCTCGACAGTATGACAGTCTATGCCTCAGTCCAAAACATTGTTTTTATACCATTTTTTAAAATCATCTATTAATTTTAATTTTATTGAATGTATGTAACTCTAAATTTTAATTTAACATTGTTAAATATGTATTAAAAACAACATTAAAATCATTTAAAAAAACCTGCAGAATTAAGTTCAAAGATAATTAGAAAAACTCGTTATCATTGATAATGTTTGTATACTCAAATTTTAATTTACGAAGACATTACACTTTTAATTATTGATAATGTTTTCAATGAATAATAAATATTATTTTTTTTATTATATCCTTAAAATTTTATTATTCTCTCTCCGTAAATTTCCCCATATCATTAATAAAGAACAACTTTGTAAAAAAAACATTCATAATTTTTTATTTCATTCAACAATCACAACTTTTCTTAGTGTGAAAACCCTAAAACATTTATAATACAAAATGGAAGTAGTTTTGATTATCAATCACATCTGCCACCCGGTCCTCCAAATTGAAGAGAATATCCATATGGACTGTTTTGTTTTCCATAGTAGTCTACTCCAAAACATGCAGGGACGTCATGATAAATATCTGTGAGATACTCATCAGGTCCATAATAGGCTGAGTTAGTTTTATTTTTATATCCAATATTTGAAAAATAACATGCATGTCCAAAGTTCTGGTCAGGAAAGAATCCAGATCCCATTTGAGGGCTAGGAGCACCTATAGCTATTGTAGCCCCTCCCCATCCCACTTGATCAGCTGTTTTCAAGTTGTTGAATAAAGCTTGTGGATAATATCCAACTGCTTTACCGCTAATGGTTATCCACCAATTTTTAGATCGTTCATCTTGAACAATACTAAATGGCATTTCTACAATAACTCCACCGTATACAGATGTTTGTGGAATAACTGTACCAATGTGATATTGACGGTTGGTTTGGACAAAACCTTGACACTGTACATTGTAGCATCCCGTCTTCATATATCCATCTGACTGTCATAATTAAATAAATGAAATAATTAAAATACTCTTTAGTTCTATTTATAAAAAAAATAAAAAATTATATTGATTAAATAGTTAATATATTTACGGTCCATGTTGCGAAAGCATATGTCCGGTCATCACCATTTATATGGGGAAATACCTAACAGAAATTTGTATGATAAATTAGTAATCTTTTTTATACCAAAATAAAATTGATTTTGTCATAAACTAATGAATTTTAAACTCACATGCCATCCAACACTAATTTCGTTAAAAGCGTTCCCCTCTCCATTTCGAACATATATATTAGATGAGCTAGCTTGAGCAATAGTACACCTTGGATTATAAACACTAGCAGTTCCAGTTATTCCATAATAATTTTTACCACCGAAATATCTGAGATATACTTCTGCTTTCTGCAAAATCAATATCTAATCAAAAACTGAAACATGAATTCATATTTATTTATATCTATAAACTAAAAATATGGCAGTTTAAAGTTAGAGTCAACGACAAAATATAAATAAGATAATTAATAAAAATTAAAGATATTATTGACAAAATATTAAAATATGAAGGAAAAAAATGAGTACAACAATATAAAAATATAATTCAAAAATAACATTTATTAAGACTAAGACTAATCAAGTACATTTAAAATTACTTGTTTAAGAAAAAACTTACGTGACTAGCCCGTGTAGCTAAAATATTATTATTCGATAAAGATTTAGTACGTATGAGATCTTCTTTTGTTGTCCTTCGAATTGGAACAGATCCTTTAGGACAATTGAGTTTATCTAATATAAAATTTGTTTTAGTTTGTGAAATATTCACACTTCTACTTCTTATGTTTGAGTAAAAACTTGGTCGAATCTGAAAAATAAAATAAAATAAGATAAATCAACATTAAAATATTATAAGAAATATGAATTAACTAAATTGAAAAGTATGTTACCTGTAATTTATGATTTTTTAATAAAGGATGATCAAAAGCAGGTTGTGTTTTAATATCAATACAATCAATTATGTACCCAAACTCTGTCTATAAAATCATCAAAAACAAACAAAAAAAGAAAGTTATAATCACATTTTAAATGGAGGATAAAAAATAAAGGTTAAATATATGAAAATAATACATAAATACTCTTGATAGGAGATTTATTAATAAGTTTTAGTTGTTTTTCCAACTCAAAATCTTCTTTCAATGTAATATCATTATCATCATATCCATGACTAGTAACAATCGTTGAAAACAAAATCAATAAGAACATCATGTTGATCATTTTTACAATTTTGTTGTGGAACAAAGTTGTTTTGTGATCTATCAGACTAGTGTCATCACTTTATATATCATTGTAGTGAAAGTCAAATATCCAAATTCATTAATTTGAATTGATGGTAAGTAAGCGTTTTTACTCGATATAGTAAAATTTTCTTTTTCCGTTATATATTAATGACCAGGGTGTGTAGGTGGTAGGTAATATGACTTTATAAACGCGTTTAAATGATCTTAAAAAAAGGTGTAACATATTAATATCATGTTAAATAAACGTTTGCATCTGGTTTAGAATTTGTTACTTAGTGTATAAATTTATTATATATAAATGGATATATTTTTGTAATTCAGTTTGTACAATTATAATTCAATAGTATAATTTTTATTTTTTTATTTTTTCTCATTCTTTTTTTTCTTATTAAAAGTGTCACACGCACTAATAAATTAGTATTTAGAGCTCCGATTAGATTTTTGATCGTATTTTCAAAAATCAACGTTGGTGATCGTGTTTCCGGGATGATAGGTTGCTAATCAATCGCTGCAAATTAGTATTTAGAGCTCCGAATTCTCTTCTAATTCTTGACGAAAAAATTGGAACCGATTGAGCAAGTAGATGAAGTCCTTGTTCGACTTTCATGAAATCCTAGAAGTGGTTACTAATGGTGTCCCTAAGCTTGCTGAGAGTGCAACTGATGCTCAGAGAGTCGTGAACAAGGAGGCGAAGAAGAAACACTGCAAGTTCGCATATTGCATTTAACTGGCGATAAATTCGACGAATTCAACAAGATCTCTCATGTTGAATTGACGAATGAGGCCTGAGATATTCTTGTCAAGTACTATGAAGGAGGTGAGAAAGTCAAAGTCTTCAAATTACATACTTTGCAACAACAATATGAATTGTTGTAGATACGAGAAGATGAAAAAATTGCAGGTTATGTGTCAAAGGTGCAGAACCTCGTCAATCTCATGAAAGGTTGTGGTGAAATCTTAACTAATAAAATGATATTTGAGAAGGTAATATGTACGCTTACCTCTCACTTTGATCACGTTTTGTAGTTATTCAAGAATCCAACAATCTTAAAACCCTAAAATTGGAAGATTTGGTTGGTTCATTGGAGGCACGTGAGATTAGGATTGTCGAAAGAAAAATGGCTCAAGATTCAATACAAGCACTGAAGCCTAGGGCTAAAAAAAATGGTGGTTCCAACAAGTTCAAAGGCAAAGAAGACAAGAATTAGAGCAAGAGGTTTTGGTTGAACCCTCAAAAGCATAAGGTCGATGATAGGGTTTCTAAACCATTAAAAAGAGGAAAATGAAACTCCTATCAGAAAGACAAAGAGAAAAAAGGCGTGCAATGCTATAATTGTGAAAAATGGGGTCACTTGGCCAAGAATTATCGGTACAGAAAAGACAAGGGAGAGACAAAAAGACAAGGACGGAGGAGCAAAACTTGCAGCCAAGATTCAAATGATTCAGAAGATATGGGGGTTATGGTTGCAATTGCGAATGATCATGTCGCTCCAAGATCTGGTTCCTCGACTCGAAATGCTCGAATCACATGACCGGTCAAAAAGTGTGGTTAGCAGATTTTGAATCGTCAAAAAAGAGCAAGGTCAAACTTGCTGATAATAGCTCATTACAAGCGAAGGTACCGAAGACATAGTTATTCAAAGGAGCAAAGGAGGAAAAATTATGATAAAAGATGTACTTTCTGTACCTAGAATGAAGTGCAATCTACTAAATGTTGGACAATTGATCGAAAAAGGTTTCTCAGTGATTATGAAAGACAAAGTCTTGGAATTGTTCGCCACTTAGAATAATTTGGTCTTGAAGTCTCCTTTATCGAAGAATAGGAAATTTAAGACCATAATCATTTTGACTGAAGTACTATGTCTAAATATTATTGTCGACCACAAGCATAATTGGTTTAGCATTTGAGGTTTGGACATTTAAAATTTAGATCACTCAATCAACTAATTATTCAAGATATGGTAATTGGTATACCATGTCTTGAGATTCCCGACAAACTTTATGAAGGTTGATTAGCCAAAAAGCGATCCCGAAATTCTTTCGTTTTGACTATGACAATGAGATCCGCTTACATACTAGAAGTAGTACATTCAAATGTATGTGATGCATTTGAAGATCATACCACTGGAGAAAACAAGTATTTTATTTCGTTTGTCGATGAATATAGTCAAAAGCTTTAGGTCTATGTGATCTAGAGAAAGGACAAAGTATTTGAAATCTTTAAGAGATTTAAGATGCTTGTCGAAAACTATAGTGAAAAGAAGATCAAGGTTCTGCAAACAGATGGAGGTGGAGAATCCATATCCAAGATATTTGTGGAGTTTTATTTAGAACCTTGTATTGATCATGAGGTAACTGCTCCTTACACGCCCCAATTAATGGAATAGCATAAATAAGAAACAAGACCATATTGGACATGGCAAGATGCATTCTAAAGTGGAAGAATTTTCCAAATTCCCTATGGGGTGAAGCTATTTCCACTATTGTTTATATTCTGAACAGGTTCTTACCAAGAAGCTGATAAACAAGGTTCTTGAAGAAGTGCGGAGTGGAAAATGACCATCAGTGAGTTATCTGATGATGTTTGGCTCTATTTGTTTCAAGCATGTTCCTGATACGAGAATAAGAAAGCTCTATGACAAGAGTGAACTTATAATTCTGGTAGGACATCACAAACCTAGAGCATACAAGCTATTAAAGCCAACCAATGAGAAGATCATGATGAGTCGAGATATTTTTATTGATGAAAATTATGCCTGCGATTGGAATTCTGGTGATAAAATTAACAATCCATTGACAAGTTATGGCGTCGATGAAGAAACCAATGAAGTCGAAGTCGAAGCAATTGTCGACATTCTAGTTGAAACATTTGCTAAAATTCCCAACATAATCGAAGTCAAAAAGGGCATGGCTAGCATAGGCCAGAGACCTCAAATAACTAGAGTTTATCCATCAAGAATTCAAAACTAATGAGTGACTAGTCATGATAAAGTCATACAAGATGGAGAGTTAGTTCACTATGCTTTACTTGCATATATTTAACCAATAATCTATAGCAAGGCTTTAAAGAATATGAAGTGGAAGTCTACTATGGTCTAAGAGTTACAAGAAATCGAAAGAAACAACACATGGGATTTAGTCGAATTGTTGGCACATACAAAGGCTATCAAAGTTGTTGCGGTGAAATTTGGATGTCAAGCTATTGATTAACTTGAATCTTAATTCATTTACAACCGCTCTTTGATTTATCCGAAGGAAAGGTTAAAGAAAGGAAAAACCTAAAAGGGAGAGATCTAAGGTTCGGGGGTTGGTTATATTTAGGGAAGGTATTAGCACCCTAAACTTCCGTAGTACTCTACGGGAACCTTTTGTTTATTTTTTTTTAAAGGCAGAGGGTAATAAAGGCAGAGGGTATAAAGAAACAAAGAAACATTTCTGAAAACATGAAGAATATGAAAATATGTAATGACACTTAGAATGAAGTGAGGGAGGAAAATAGTGTGGGGTTGTGGCCACCACAAGCACATCTCAACCTCGAACATGCACATGAAATGCCAAAAGAAAGAAAAGTAATAAAAGGGCACATAAAATGACACGACAAACATCAAACATCAGGAGTTCCTTACGAAAAGGTTTTAATTTTTTTAATATTTTAATTATAAAAAAAATGTTTTAATTTTTTAATAAAAAATATTTAAGTTAAAATTATAAAAAAAATTAAGTTTAAATTATAAAAGAAAAGTTTTTTTGGGGAAAAGTCTTTTCAGTTTTTTTAGAACAAAAAAGGCTTTTCATCCCAAAAAAAGGCTTTTCAGTTTTTTTGGGAAAAGGCTTTTCAGTTTTTTTGGGAAAAGGTTTTTTGGGAACAAAAAGGTTTTTTTTTTCTTGGGAACAAAAAGGCTTTTCAGTTTTTTTAAAAAGGTCTTACTAAAAAAAAGGTTTTAATAATAAATAAAAAAAGAGTTTTGATTTTAAAAAAAGGTTTTGTTAAAAAAGGGTTTTGATATTAAAATCTACGGACCTAAACACACATGGAGATTAACATGGCAAAATATGCACATAAACATGAAAAAGCAAAAGGTTTAATAATTTAACGGACTTAAACACATTAACATGGCAAAATATGCACATAAACATGAAAAGGCAAAAGGTTTAGTAATTTAACCTACAAAGCGGAGGTTCGCTTCGGTAAAATGTGAAAAAGGTTTGAATAAGGGAACACTGGAGAAAAAAATTAGTTAAGAAAAAAAAATTTAAATAATTTAAAATAATTAAAATAAACTTAAAATAAAAACTAATAATCCTATTGATTCCTAAAATCAAAAATATTATAAAAAGAACAAAATTTTTTCTAATATTTTTTATTTTATGATTTTTTGGATATTTTTATGAATAATTTAAAAAAAGGTGAAAAAAATAATATTTTAAAAAATGATTTAATTAAAATACGAAAATAATAATTAAATAATAATAAAAAACTATTTTTTTTGTTATTTTTTAATGAAAGATAGAAAAATTTAGAGTAAAAATAATAAAAAAACAAAAAAATGACAAAGGTGAGATTCGAACTCTCAACCTCTCACACTCACAACTCCTTACACATGTCCTCTTGCCAATTGTGTCATTTTTACTTTTTAGAAAAAAATACATGCCATATGATATTTACCTGCAAAAAGTCAAACGACTACACAAATTTGTTAGTAATTGATTAAATACAATAAAAATGCAATGAAATGCGACGACAAATCTTAGGGCAAAATTTGGGGTATTACAGTTGCCCCTATTTAAATAACTTCACCGGGTGATTCGAGCAACGGAGACTCGAGAAATCGTGGTGGAGGGATTTAAATACAGATAACCGAAAATTTTGCCTTTAGACGCAGTGCTATGCAATGATATGGACAAAACAAAACGAACTATAATGCTAAATATAATATAAATCTGATATGATGTGTATGATGAAAATGACAAATGCAC